GCTCGAGTTTCTACCAGCGTTTAAGGCAGCGTTTGATCGATCCTTCACACCAGCCAATATCCGCTCAGCCTTTAAGGCGCAGGCCTTGTTCCTCTCCAGCCAGACGCTGTTCTATCAAAGCTTGACATAAAGCTGCGTACGCCTACTCCTCCAGCTGCTGTCGCAGAGGCTGTCTGGCAGGCTCGTACCCCAAGCAACGTACGCGAGCTTGAAGCCCAATCAACGCTAATACGTGACCGGGTTCAGCGGCATAAGAGTTCATCACCAGCGTCAATTATTGCGGCAATTGGCCAGCTTAAGAAGGGGGCAGAGATAATGATGCTCTCGGCTGAGCTAATGCGCGATCGGCTCGCCAGCCTTGAGAGGGCTAATGAGGCAGCAACAAAGCGTAGGCAGCGTAAGAAAAAGCGGATACAGAAGCGAGGAGTACTTACAAAGGGAGCTGGAGAGGATCTACTCGCTCAGCGCGAGGCTGATCAGCAGATTGCTCATGAAGAGCGTCAGAGAGGAGAGCGATCAGGTGTTAGCCGCCAGGCTTTGGCGCGCTGTAGTAGGTGCAGAGAGACTGGCCATAACTCGCGTACGTGCAAGAAAGATACTCTAGGTACTGCTTAATCTATTATGTTAATATGTAGTAAAACAACTATATTGTGGTGGAACTACAGGCTTATAGAGGTGCGCAGGTTTGGTGGGGTGCGGCGCTCGCTTGCCACATACGTTAGAGAGAAATAGAGAGGGGAAAATCAAATCACAAGAGAAAAGTAAAGGGGGAAAACTTGAAATCTGCAAAATGATAAGAATTGAAGTAACTAAAAAAAGAAAGGGACTAGGAAAAGAGAAAACCCTGGTATATCCCGATGCAATCAACGCCGTGAAAAAAAAAACCGAAAACTCGAAAAATATGCCACACAAATCTCATCATGCTATAGTACCGTTGATACCACCACCACCAATCTTGCCTAGCCCCTCAACTCCCCTCTTAGCAGCAGCTACATGCCAAGGCACGGTTCCATTACGCGTGCCTCGCATACCTCTCAACTTAGCCAACAAGCCCAACGCCCTAAACTGGCCCAGGACTTCCTTGAGCAATCCCTCAGCTGTAGTTCTCGTCTGCGGCGTAGGCGTCCACATGAGACTAGTTGTGCTTCTCTGGCCCTCTTGGCCCGGCCCCGGACTTTGCGGGGTACCAGGGTTACTGGCGTATGGGTTGGGGAGATTGGAGCCGCCCGGACTGGGGAGGTCTGAAGAAGAGCTGGAGGGTGTAGCGGACGAAGAAGTAGGTGGAAAAGGGGAGTTGGTGGCATTGCGAGATGAGCCTACGGCACCGATCCAGAGGAAATTGACGGCCACGACAATGGGTCCTTGCTCTGGATCGGGAATGGGATGCGCAGTGCTGTTGGATGTTTGAATTGTTTCGCCGCGTTTGACGAGTAGACCGGATATCAGTGCTGGGCTAAATTGAGTTGACGAGTATGAGTTGTGCAAACGGTGGGCAAGAATTATACCCCACGTGTCGTCAGTTACATCCACGAGACGTGCTTCGGGATCGGCTGTTGGGTCGGTGGCTGTTGGATCCGCGGCTGGTGTTGCAGCAGGCGTCAGGCCTGGCCCTGGATCAGAGGGTGACACTCCGGCCTGTGGTGTTGAAACTGGTGTGGTTGCGCCAGCGCCGGTCGCTGTGTTTTGAGTGGACACAGTAGGTGTGAATTGGTACGGCGGATCGGCATCAACTGCCGTAAGCAACGTCACAAATACGTTGATCTGCGTTGGACATGAGATGAGGAATACCCATGTCTCGAGCTCTTCCCTTTCGAGTACACCGGCTTTGGCGATGCAGACGCGCCAATTAACTCTTCGGGATTGCAGTATCTCGATAGTCGTTTGCCAGATCTCTTTTGCAATTTCTCGAAACATACGTGTTCCCAGGTGGTAGGAGACGACTGCTTGAGACTTGCCACAGCTGTCTGTCCATGCGGCGGTAACCCAGGTACCATCGAGACTGATGGCGTAGCCGAGATGCATGTAGGTGTTTTCTCGCAGCAGATCCTGGGCTGGCTCCGATATAAGCTTGAAAGGGATGTTGCGTGGCAAGATCTCTTCTAGATGGAACGCGGGCGCTTTGTATATACTGAGGGACGTCTTGTCGCCACTGGGTGCGCTTGGCGGGCAGCGGTCGTAGACTTCTCGTGCAAGGCTAAAGTAAGTAGATGGGTCGAGGACGACCGGGGTATCAAACGAGGAAATGTACTTGATGGGAATGATCTGTAACACAACATCCGGCTTCTGTGGTTGGTCTGTACGTCCTGGATGGACCTGGGTATAAGCCTGGAAAAGCGCCCAGAAAGCTGAACAGAGCTCCCAGACTGCCGATGGCCCACCGAAAGGATCAATCATGTAGATGACAAAAGCATCGACCTTTGAGTCTTGCTGCTGCTCGCGTATCTTGCTATGCTGAAGAGCGAGGAGTTTGCCAAGCTGAATGCACGTTTCTTTGAGAAGCTTGAAAGAGTCCCGCGGTGTGATGGCCGATGTTGCCTTGACGGGTACAAGGCCGCCTTCAAACTCCACGACCGTCTCGACTCGACTATGACTGCCTAGTTTACAGCCATCGTAGGCGAGCTGCAGGTTGAGTAGAAAGTTTTCCAAGCATGGGCGAATAGCATCGCTGTGTGGGTACACACAGAACGCGACAATGTTCTTTTGGGTGCTGATAGGTGAGAGTCCTAGAGGCTCCCAGAATGCTACCGCAGGTGGCAGCAAGTCCCAGTGCGTTTCCGCACGACGCACTCGCAGGAACGGTGCTTGAATTTGGTACATGTGGCTCCCTGTGATTGCTGGGCCATCGTTCTTTCGTGCTGGAGGTCGTTGCTGTGCCTTGGCCAAAGCTGCATAGTCCTGGAACACTTCATGGACGCCAACAAGTGTAGGCAAATCACAGTCTGCAGCGGTTGGAAAGATCTCTTTGATGACGCTGTTCCAAGGCTTCTCTGCCACAGGATCCATGGTGGGTTCGCTTCTGATAGGTGAGTCCTCCCCAAGCATGTCGAGTGTTGTAGAGACAATCTGGTCAGTCACAATCTGTGTGATGGAGATGCATTCTTTACCACTCAAAGGCTTTTCGTCTGGCACTTCGTATGTGGGATCAGGCTGTGAAGTAGGGGTATCGGGCATCTGCGCAGGACTGGGGAGCAAAGCAGGAAGACTGTATCGTGCCCCTGCTACAAGTCGTTCAGCTGGGCCGGGAACATTGACTAATGACCAATCCCACAGACTTGGTTCGAAGGTGTTGAGACATGCTTCGTCTAGATGTAATCCGTACAATTCCATCCAGTCACCGCCTAGTGAATCTGCAAACGATGTTACCGACAGTGGAGTAGCATTGCCCTCACTTTGCAATTTTCTCTTCGCGGGCATAATGATGTTAGTCGTGACAACAGCAGGCATCGCCTCTGCCTCTTCGTCTCCGGAATCTTCGTCGAATACATCTGATGTCTCACTGGAAGAATCCGAGTCTACACTAGCCGCACGAGCTAGAGATGCAATCTCGGGTATTCTGTTTGCAGATGCAATACCTGCTGCGAGACGAAGCTTGGAAAGCAGAGGAAAGTCTCTGGAAAATTTTGGTTGACAAGCTATAGTCCCCAGGGTAGGAGTAGGACTGGGCTCCCTTTGGCGATCCCCAGTTCTGGGGCGATGTGCACTGAACCGTCCACCTTGATACTTTGCATCCGACAGGCTCATCTTACGATTGAATGCAACCGGGTCGAATTGAGCATCGCGGTAGCCATCGACAGCGCCTTCTGCTCGGGTACGCGATGCAGACCTTTTGGTCGGAGATGGCTCTAGCGCTTTCAAGATCTTGCTGGGGCTAAGAGGTGGCGTAGGCGCTTTAGAAAAAGACACGTTTCGACGTGTTGGTGACAACTTTTTGCTGTCGGAAAATCCAGTATCTTCAATCTTGGGTGCTCGCATATCGGCACGGTCTTTACCTTTGACGTCGTCGTGAGCCATTGGAGGTTCAGACGCTGTGGCAAGTGCGTTTTCGAGAGCCGCAAAAGGATCGGACATTTCATCTTGGGGATGAGATTCGGTAACGGCCCCAGACGCATGGTCTTGTATAACATCAACAGGTGGTGCATTTTGCTCGGGTAGAGCTGGTGCGTCTAGCATGTCAACGTCGTCATTGTCGGGGCCATCGAAAAAGTCAAAATCAGTGTCGTTGATGCGGTCGCCGCCGTAGCCATCCTCGTCCATGTCCTCAAACAAATCATCGTTGCCGCTAGATGTGTTAAAGTTGTCTGCTGCTGAAGGAACGGCTGGAGACGTAGTGATCATCTGTTGATCGTCCGCCTTGGTGTTTTGCGGTGGAGCCGAGAGGTTGATGGCAGGGTTGTTGCCTCCAGGGGCTAGTATGACGTTGGAAGCTGTACCAGACACACTAGGGGTGTCGCTGTAGGAAACGCCAGTGCCGGGAGCAATTCCGTCCGGAGGAGTAGGATACACACCGCCCACTGCTTGTAAGTCGCCATAGGCGCCTGTTCGAGCGTTCAGCGGTGATGATGGATGCAGACTGGGGTGTTCCTCTTTGCGACGGGCGGCATCTTCTTCTGCCTTTTTGGCCTTTCTTCGTGCTTCGAGAATCTTGTCGCGATCCGGCTTGCCCAGAAACCATTCCTGCGCAACGTCGAGCGGGTCTTTGAAGCCTGTGGATTCTGGCGTCTCAAACCACCTAACTACGTTGGAATCAGAGACGTTGATTCCGGCGGCGATTGCGTCTGGCTCTTCGGTCACGTGGAAGAAGCATAGTGCTCGCGGCCATAGCACGTCTCGCTCTGGGGCCACAGAAGCTGGACTCGAGACCGTAGAGGTTGGTATCAACGTGGTACGTATTCTGACCCACGAGCTTCTCTTCTCCAAGTCAGGCAAGGCGTAGCCTTTCCAGCTCAGCCAGCGCCTGACGCTTGTCTTCCATTTTTCGATGTTCTGCTCGAGAGTCGTTACTTTGGTGCGCTTTCGGTGGCGGACGCCAGTTTCCTCGGCGACAGAATCTAGGGGGTCTTCGAAGCTCGTGATGGTGGCGAGTAAGCCGTTGGGTGCTACCCGAATGCATCTGCCAGTAAGCTGTCTCTCCTCGAGCTGCGTCGAGACGCTGCTCAAACAACGGATGAGGTGATTTTTGTCGGTGAAGGTGGATAGCAGTAGGGTGCCCGAACTCGTCCAGTGTGCATGTATGCTGGTAAGGCGCTGCAACTCTGGTTGCGAATCAGCATCTGCCTGTGCATCGCCAATCTGCTTGGTGGCCTTGGACACAAATGTGCGGTAGTTCAAGGCGACTACATCGCAATTCTTGACGACTTGGAACGAAACCAATGCAATGACGGCCGATGTGAAGAGCTCGTACAGAGTGAAGCAGTCGGGAGGCTGAGGCGGATCGGCAGATGTTTGTGCCTGTGTGTTGCCCTGCGCCTGCCTTGGGGCCACACCTTGCGGGCCTCGTTGGGGCGCGTTTGTTGATGGGGGCTGGTTGGAGGCAGCGGTGGTGTGTGGGGTGCCCGGGCGCATGGGTGGGCGGACTAGATCGATGGCCTTGATGGCTCCCGTGTGCTCGCCTGGAGGGTGTCAGCAGTGTATTACGACAGCGCGAAGAGAAAAGAACGAACGCTGCAAGCGGTAGCCGTCGAGGTCGGGGAGCTGGATGCTGGTCTGTCCTATCTTGTCGACCGTGGTGGGCTTGAACAGCCACAGCCACGGGCGGGAGGCGTCGTGCGCGACCAGGTGAAGTGCATGGCGCAGCTCCGCCTCGGCGGCGCGTACATCTTCGGAGGCAGGCCAGGGCCGTGCTTTGGAGGATGCAGATGTGGTGGTAGTGGTAGTGGTGGTGGTGCGTGTGACGGAGATGGCTTGGTATGCAATGGCTTCAAAGTCACCCTGGGGACGGGTTAGCACGGGCGGGCGCGGAGAGGAGGCACGGGGCGGACGGACTATAGCTTGCGCATTGGTAGAGCAGGTCTTGAGAAATTCCATTAGAGAGACGGCTGCCCTCTACGGAACATTCAGGTGGTATTCGCGACGTATGTTCACTCCGGCGACGGCGCTGTACAGCTTTTCCATCAACTGCGCTGCGGGCCGCTCGACGCGTCGCGCGCGACTGCAACGATTATAGCAATGGGTGCGGTGGGTGGGGGGCGACGGGGACTATCGAGTCGACATGGTCTGGTCGTGCGGCAGCGTGTTGGAGATGAAGCATGACCATCGCTACCGGGGGCCGACGGGGGATATACGGGATCGGCCGGGCGACCCGACGACGGCGACGAGGGGCGGAGGGGGAGGGTCGACGCGCGGGCGATGCGATGCGATGCGTGACGGCGATGGGCGGTGGTGGTGGTGGTGGTGTTTGGCTATGGCTGCGTCGGGCTATGGCCATGCATCTGCTGGGGTGGAGGAAGCTGTCAGGACCATACAAGCAAAGGGCGGCTCGGTAAGCGGCGCGCGTTGGCCTGCCTGCGCCTGGGGGGGTGTGGGAGCGCGCCCTCTTGGCCCGATCACGTGATGCGTGCTCCAGCTCGCTCCAGCTCGCTGCCACTGCGGGTCATCTGCGCCCCAAACACCCTTGAGCTGCCCTGGCCGCCCCTAGTTCGAGTCGGCTCTAGTCCACGCCCTGCCCCACTCTTTTTTGCAATCGCCAACTTCTTCGCCCGCCGGCGACGACGACGACCGCGCATGCTGCAAACCACCCGCCAGCACAGCCAGCACAGCCAGCAGCCCGACGCCCTGCCGTCTCCCTGCCGCCCCCCGCCATGAAGATCTCCACCGGAAATGTGCCCGTCTACACAATCAGCGGCAGCGAGGCCCGCCCGCTCCCAGAGTGGCTGATCCGCAAGCGCAAGCGCAGTCTGAAGAACGACCCCGAATTCGCCAACCGCGTCAACCTGCTGCAGGACTTTGAGTTTGAGGAGGCCAGCCAGTGCGTGCGCGTCAGCGACGATGGCGATTGGGTCATGAGCACCGGCACATACAAGCCCCAGATCCACGTCCACTACCTTCCCCACCTGTCCTTGTCCTTTGCGCGCCATACCAACACTCTTGTACGCACTCTCCCCGTGGCTCCTCGCCTTGCGCATGTGCTGACCCGCCCCAGAACCAAACCTTCCACCTGCTCTCGTCCGACGCCACCAAGAGCGTCCATCTCCAGCAAGACCGATGCATCGAGTTTCACACCGGCGGCGGCCTCCACTACGCAAGTCGCATACCGCGCTATGGCCGCGACCTCATATATGACCGCCGCTCAGCCGAGTGTTTGGTGCCTTCCGTCGGTGTCAATGCAGAGGGCATGGGTGAATGTTTCAGGCTGAACCTCGAGGTCGGCCGGTTTATGCGCAGCTATGAGGTCGATGTGGGGGGCAGCGATGACACAGGCGGTCTACAGGGCGGCATTGATGCCGGTACCGTCAACACTGGCGCCATTGCAGAGCAGACGCACGGGCTGCTTGCATTGGGAACGTCAATAGGAACTGTCGAGTACTTTGATTCGCGCTCACGCACCCGTGTCGGCATACTATCGTCGCCCCAGGATGCCTGGGAGGGCCGGTCCGAGACGACTGCTCTCGCCTTCTCGCCGACTGGATTGGAAATGGCAGTCGGCGACTCCAATGGCATAACACATCTCTACGACTTGCGATCCCCGAAGCCGCTGCTGAAGAAAGACCAGGGATACGGGTTCCCGATCAAGAACATCATCTATCTCGACGGCGCTCAGACCCCCGAACCAAAGATTCTCACTGCAGACAAGCGAGTCATTAAGATTTGGGATGCAAAGGACGGCACTCCATGGACCTCTGTCCAGCCCTCGGTCGACTTGAACCATGTTGAATGGGTTCCCAAGACTGGCATGCTACTAACGGCAAATGAGGGAAGACAGCAGCATTCATTTTTTATCCCACAACTGGGCTCAGCTCCCCGATGGTGCCACTTCCTCGACAACATTGTAGAAGAAATGGCCGAGGACCCCAACGACCCCAACGCCTTTGGCAAGGGCTCAACCGGAGACGTGTATGACAACTTCAAGTTCTTGACCATGGACCAGCTCAAACAATTGTCACTCGACCATCTCGTCGGCACAACAAGTCTCCTCCGCCCGTACATGCACGGTTTCTTCGTTGCCCAGAAGCTGTACGAAGAAGCGCGACTCATTTCGAATCCGGACCTCTGGCAAGAACAGCGGGCAAAGAGCATCGCCGAAAAGATCAACAAGGAGCGCGAAAGCCGAATCCGCGGCAGCAAAAAGGTGGCCGTCAAGGTCAACCGGAAGCTCGCCGAGCGGATGCTGGAGAAGCAAGAAGAGCAAGAACGCAGACGAGCCAAGCGCGTCCTCAAGCAAGGCGGCGACGACGACATGCTGGACCGCTCCACTACCGCCGCTCCCGCCGTCGAAGAAACCACGCAGCCCGCCGGCGTGCTCAACGACCCGCGTTTCGCCAAGATGTTCGAAGACCCGGATTTCGAAATCGACGAGCACACACGCGAGTACCAGCAACTCAACCCCAGCACAAAGATACCCAAGGGCCTCACAGCCGCCGAACAAGAAGAACTGGAATCCAGAAAGGGTTCCTCGGACGAAGACTCCTCTTCGGATGGCGATAACGCAGAAGAGCCAGACCAAATCCGCCACCCGAACAAAACAGATAATACCCGCATCTCATCCGCCTCATACAGGAAATCCGGCCACCGTTCCCAGCGCAATGGCCCAGACATGCTCGTCTCCTCGTCGGCTCAACACCACCAGCATCACCGCGCCTCGGCCTCCACAAAAGACAAAACTTTCGGCTCTCGCATGTCCAAACTCAAAACTAATAAACCTCATTCCTCATCCTCTTCTACACGCAATACAACAACCGTTGTCGGCGAGCGCGAAATCACATTTGCCCCTGAGCACAAGCAGAAGAAGAAATCTCATTCCAATAGTGCTGGTGCGGATGGTGAGGATAATGGCCAGCGCCATGATAGGAGGAGCAATGCTCAGAGGAGGAATGCCAGTGGTAATGTGTTTAGGAATATGTAAGATATGCAGTTGGATGCGAATGCTGATGCGGATGTGGGGATGTAGATGTAGATGTAGATGGGGGGAATGTAGCTATCAAGCGATTAAAATAAGACAAGAGGAGAATGAAAGACATGAAATGGAACAAAATTCCTTGCTGTTGCTGTTGCTGTTGCTGTTACTGGGGGTTTCTTTTTTCGTACATGCTACTCACTCATGTTGATGGAGCGGGCGTGCCGTGCCGTGCGGTGAATGCGAGATGGGAATTATAATCCCCCTTCTTCTTCTTCTTCTTCTTCTTCTTCTTCTTCTTCTTCTTCTTCTTCTTCTTCTTCTTCTTCCACCATATCCATATCCATATCCATATCCATTCCACCCAATCCCAATCCCAATCCCAATCTCAATCTCAAGTTTCACCAAATACCTACCCCCCCCCTCAGCAACATGCATTTCAAACACCAAAGAAGAAGAAAAAATTCCGGTATCATGAGTACATGTAACATTGTAGGACTTGTGTGAAATCTCAAAAAAAACAAGGGGGGTGGGGAGGAGAGAGGGAGAGAGGGAGAGAGAAAGAGAGAAAAGAAAGATGTTGAAATCTTATTTCTCTCCCTTTGTTGTAGTATCCTAGCTATTGTATATTTGTAGAATGTAGAGAAAAATTCCAAAAGTGTATATATATATATATATATATATGTGTGTGTGTGTGTGTGTATTCCAGTTCCAATCGA